CAATCAATCAATCAATCAATCAAACAAGCCACAAAGTCACACTGGTTCTCAGATGGAATATGCGTTTGTTCAATTATATTCTGCCTTTCCACCATGAGAGTGGAGCTCAAGGAAGCTGTGCTTTATTTGCCTCCTAATTTGGCACTACGGGTCTGGGAACCACAAAGCAACTGGGGGACAGAAGGACCTTGGTCTATTAAGAACAATGGATAGCTGCTACCCATGAAGGCAGACAAGGACCCCCCCCCCAATTTGGAAATGATCCCCTCAAAGAAATGAGAGTGAATGTTCCCTACATAGCCGCAGTTCGCTTCCAGCCATTAATTTCCCTGACAGCGGAAATGGCAGTCGAGGAAAGGATGTGGAGAGAAGCCTGAGATGGAGACGGGCCGGTCCTGACTCCCTTGGACAGACTGGCTAAGCAGTGACAACCTGGAGGGTGTCCGTGGTGCTGTTCTAGTGATCTGTGTTCATTGCTCGCTCCTTGTGAGTCAGGTGTGAGCTGCAGGAATACTGGATAAACACGCCCCTCTGCCCATTATGCAGGCCAGCCTCTGCTTGGGCGGTTGGATGTGAGCTTCCAAGTCGTGCAGGGCTGTGCTTGTGCGGACAAGCCACCCACTCAAGGCAGGTGGGCGGAAGATGAGTCTCTTAAGGTACAAGAATACTGGTCATCTTTGAGCTTGCGTTTCTTCCCGGGCACATCACAGGCACGTGTTTTTGGTCAGCCTCGTTTGCTCTCGCTTCCCGTAAGATCTGTCTCCGACACACTTCTGTCACTGGCAGGATCTTCGAGTAAAGGGGCCATCACCCTGCGGCTGGATCCCCTTCTGGCTCTTCTCCCGCAGTCCTCTGAAAAATTCTGCACATGCCCTGATGACTCATGTGGGAAGGAGCCTTGATTGTCCTTGATGAGTTCAGCGTCTTTGAGTGATCCTTGATCTTCCCATCCCATGCCAGCAAATGAGGCATTGAAAGAGCCGCCCGCCTCTTCTTCGCCTTGCTGATAGTGGAAACAGGCTCATGCTAAACAAGAGCAAAGATGACTTGCTGGCATTAAGCACTTACCAGAAGGGGTGGTGTCAAGACTTTAGGTTTGGTTCAGCCGACAGCCAGCCTGAGATTAATGATGAAATTGCATTTAAAAATCCAGTTTTTCCAAAATGTCAGGGAGGCGCAGTTGTCATTCTTGCCTCCTGTGTTTATCCTCTAACCAAAAAAGCACCCCTCTCCGCCTCGCCCACTACGGCGTCGTTGCTAAAGTGTTAGACTAGGACTTAAGGGATCCAGGTTCTAGTCCCCTCTGAGCCACAAAGTTTGTCAGGTGACTTTGAGCTATTGGCTCTCAGCCTAGCCTACTTTGCAGGGTTGTTGTGCAGATCCACTGGAGAAGAGGAGGATTATGAAGCTACTTTGGGTGCCTGGCAGAGGAAAAGGGCTGCCTAAGATTATGATAAATGCTTGAATAAAGACAACCCTGTGAGGTTGATGGGGCTGAAAGCAAGTGATTGTGTGTGCCTGATATGTGGCTGGATGTGGACTTAAACCAAAGCCACCCTGGATATTGATCTGTACCAAACACATAATATTACTTAGTGTGTGTGTGTGTGTGTGTGGACATGTGCCTTAGAGGGAACGGGCTGTGGCTAGAGGGTGCTTGGCACATGGAGTCAAGACCCGGCACCTCCAGGCAGGGTTGGGGAAGCTCTCTGTCTGAAATGCTGGTGGCCTGGTCACCTACTTCAGTTTCTGGAGTAGCCTCCTGACGCCCCCCAAATGTGTGTCAAGTCCCATCAGCCTCAGCCATCATGGCCCACTGTAAGGAATTCTGGGTGCTATCAAAAACAGCTGGAGAGCACCAGGGCAGCTCACACGGTCCTCCTCTCTGTTGCTTCTTCACAACAACCTTGCAAGGTAGGTGAGGCCAAGAATTGGTGACTGGCCCAAAACCACCCAGCGAGCTTTGCGGCTAAGTGGGGACTAGAATCCAAATCCTTTTGAGTCCCAGCACGAAACTCTAACCGCTGCCCTTCACTGATTCCAAAGAATGGTGTAGCGGAGGGGGTGTTGGTGGGGTGTGCGAACATGTGCAAAATACCCCCCCCCCAAGTCCTGCAGCTCTCCGGCTGTTTATTTCCTGGAAGGAAGCGGGGCGGGATGGCGAAGCTTTGCTCCGCTCTGCTGAGCGAACGGCCCAGCTCCAATTCCACCTCTTCTGCTGCTAAGCTCTGCTGCAAAGGGAGCAGGTGGGGCTCCATGTGGGTCCCCCCCCCCGTCTCAACTTGAATCTGGGGTAAACTGTACCTGTAGGGCACAGCTTGGCAAACAGCTGGTGCCGAGGGTTTTTGTACCTCCCTTGGCACCGTTTACGCTGGCACGGTGCCTGCTGCGAATGAGCTGCGTGATCTAGCGCTGCACCTTTGGATGGCCCCTTTTAGCCTGAGCTTCAGGGTGTGTGCGCATGAATGTTTTTCCTTTCTGTGCCCTGCTGTCTTGCCTCGGGTCTTCATGTGCAGAGAGCCATGGACCTTTGCCAGGGTGAACTGTGGGGAGGGGGATTCTGCAAATGGTGGGCGGGAGGCAGAGCTTCTGTTCTGTCTGCAGCGGTTCCTTGGGAAGTCCTTCCTCAAGAGGAAATGCTTCCAGTTGCCCCTGCAGAGTGCTGCAGTGGGCGCACTGGGACATTAGCATGATTTTAGATTTTTGAAAAGGGTAGCTGGCGTGTTCCTCCGAACCGGAAGCCCAGCTCCTTTCCTCATTTTGCAAACGCTTGGCGTTTCCTTGTTTTTATTTATTTTTTGATAGCCGGCAAAGGGAAGGAGATCCACTTTGACACCCACCCGCTCCCCAACTTGGTTTTCCTGTTTATGGTATCAGAACAGCCCTGCCAGATCTGTGCTCAGGACTCGCCTACCCCAGCATCCTGTTTCCAACAGCGCTCAGCAGAGACTTCCCGGAATTCCCGGTGCCGAACAGACATGCCCACAAAGCCCTTTTCCTGGTGCTCCCCATCAGAGCAGGGAAAGGCGAAAGCCGCTTGCTGGCCCCTCACTTCCTTAGGGATCCCTTAGGCTAGCTGCAGTCCTCGCAGTAACTGCGTGGAGGAATGAAAATACGCACGTCGTCTTCTAATACGTCGCAGCGCAAAGTGCGCAGGGCGGCTTGGTCCCGAACGTTCTGCCACGACTCGCTTGCTTCAGGTGGAGACGACGGGCCCATGCAGCCGCCTAGACTTCAGGGCCCCCGCTTCTGTCGGGACAGGCGGGATGGCGACACAGCCTTCCGACTGCGCCTCCCGCCATGGTTTCTGCAGTGCGAGAAACATCGCAGTGCCGGCTGAGCTGAGCACGCTGTCACTTCCCCGGCCATGTGGTCAAGGTTGCGCTTTGCAGCTTTTATCTCTCTGATGGATGGGAGTCCCTTTCTTTGGCTGTGCAAGGTCACTCTGTGACTTTCTCTTGTTTCTGCTCCTCTTTGGCCTCCTATTGAGCATCTGTGCCCCCCCTCCTTCCTTTCTGGATGTGCCTGGGCTACTTCCACACCCACGGTGTTTTGAATCCTCTTTCTTGCTCTGCTTAGCAGTGTAACCGTGGCTTGTGCGTCACCCGTTCTCCCGGAATCACAGAGGCATTCATGGAGAACGAGGAATGCTGGGTGGCAGTGGGTCCTAGTGGCAAGGGCTCAGGATGAGCCCGGCTAGGAACAAAAGGTCCCATAGATCTGATTCTGCTGCTGGGTCAAGAGGTGCGCCTCTGCTTGTCTGTTGAGAGTCACCCGTCGCTTTTCTCCGTCGCTGAGGGTCAAGCAACCCCAAGGCATTGCGCTGGTGTGTGATGCACTGGAGCGATCCTTTTTCTTACCTGTGGCATGGGTCTCAGTGGGGCTGGGATTTCATTTCCTGAAAGCATTCAAGCCGGAGCAAAGCAGGAGGCTCCAAGAGTGGATGCCACAGATCAAGGCCTCATGCCTGATCGAAAAGGCACAGCACAAGAGGAAAAGACGGTGGGAGAGAAGAGGGGGAAAGCGCAAACGCATCCCCTAATTCTCAGTTGCAAAATCTTTGTGCGTCTTCATCCTGGGAGAGGGGGCAAGTTTCCTTGCCGGTCCCTTCTCAGCCTGGCGGATGGGGCATTTCCTCTCGCCATGATGCTGTTCCTCAAGCTGATGGATGAGGCCTGGATGGGCTGCCGCTCACCTCTGCAGCTCCAGCTATTTTGCTGCGTATGTTCATGGCATTTAGCAGAGTGATGCTTGTGGGTGGGGGTGAAATAGAGGTCTCTGCTCCAAGGAGCTTGCAGTCTATGTCCAGGCAGCTTGTGGGAGGAGCGAGGAAGGAATGCATATCAAAACGGCAATAAACTCTGGCTTTGCTGGGTTTCATAAGAGGGGCATCCTGCTTCCTACAGTGGCCAGCCACGTACCTCCGGGAAGCCTGAAAGCAAGCAAGAACACACAAGGACCTTTTGCACTGTTTCTCCCCAGTCTACCTGATGCTCCAAGGCAGACTGCCCTTAAAGCTGGAGGCTTTGGCTGGCCCAAAGAGCCGCGTGGCCCAGTGGGGACTAGCGCTCACAGCTTCACTGTCTCCGTCCAGCACTGGTGTTAAAGTTGCTCTGTAGTTTCATGGTTTGTTTATGAGCCATCGATCAATCTCATTCATGTCTGGGACGTTGTTTTAATAACTCTGTTTCTAGGCAAGGGGGGTGGCTGTGCAACAGGTCTGGACGGTGGGCTCGTGTGTGGGCCGGGAGGAACGAACAAAGGGCCGCGTGAATGCCAGTGACAGAATTTCCAGGTTGCTTCATCTTTCCGACTGCACGGTTTTATGGCTTCTTGCAGGAAAGCTAATGAAATTAACCTTTGGGGAAGCATTTTTATAAGCTGCCTGCCCGATCGATGATAAAGACAAGCCCATTCCACTGCCCTTCCCCTGCGTCTTGAGCGCTGCAAGTCTGTGCGGAGTCTTTCGTAATGATGTCCTCTTTGCTTCTTTTCTCTAGGTGAGAGTCTGGAGGTATTTGAAAGGCAAAGAGGTCGTGACCCACGAGAACCTCTTGGACGGTGGAAATAAAGTGGTGATTGGAGGGTTTGGGGACCCCTTGATCTGCGACAACCAGGTTTCCACGGGGGACACGCGGATTTTCTTTGTCAACCCAGCGCCACACTATATGTGGCCCGCTCACAAGAATGAACTGATGCTCAACTCAAGCCTGATGCGGATTACCCTGCGCAATTTGGAAGAAGTGGAGCACTGTGTGGAAGGTAGGCCTGGTGTTTAATTTAGCAGTGTTTGCTCTGCATGCCTGTCACAGCCGTCCCTTCCGTGGGCAGAGATCGCATCGCTGGAACTGTGTACACAGGAGCAATGTTAAAACTGCCCTCGCAGGGAATCCAGAACTGCAGTCTTGCTTGCATGGGGCTAAACGCATGCATTTTCCAACTTAGTTTGTACATTTATTCAGCAGTTGTTTGTAAGCTGAATTTTTATTCTGGGTTTATTAGCCATGGGGAGGGGCAGGAGCTATGCAGCTCCCACCCCCAAATCACTAGCAGTCTCATTTCTCCCCCCTTCTGGCTTCTGAGAGATTTGCCTGCTGTCATCAGCCTGCTTTCAAGCATGACTTTATACTCATGAGGACTAGAAGAGGGGTGTGAGTGTGTGTGTGTGTGTGTGTGTGTATTTTTTTTTTTTAAATGCTGAGATTCTCACGCGTCTGAGACTAAATGCTGAGACTATCATGCGTTCAAGTGCCATCTTTGGTGTGTTTGTGGCGGATAGATGCAGGCCCTGATTATGGTACCGACTGTAGCGATAACACTGAGCTTGGGCACAAATCAGGTTTTGCAGGCGTGTCCAAAAATGGCAATGTTTGCATTCTGTGATGCACATAAGTTCAGATTTCCAAACTTGATTGTCTCTTTCCTTTTTCTTTTTTTAATACGTTCACTTCCATCTCTTTGTCCAAAGGTTTTAGGGAATAATCCCGTAACTCCAATCCTGCATCCAAGGGCCACTGGATATTTTCCAGATCTGAAAGTGGAGATTGTGCTCTTACCTTGGTGTTGGGAGTAGGAGCTCCAGCTCACCCCCCACTTTCTCACTGCCGGGATGGGCAGAACTGCTCTTGCTGCACTCCCAGGATTGGAAAAGCAGCCCTGGAGAGAGGGAAAGGCGCGGGGGGGGGGGGATGCACTGGGGGCCAGGGAGGTCCCCCTGGGAAACCGGACAGGAGCTTTGCTTTCCTTCCCCCATCTCCAGATGGGCTGGGGAGAAGCCTGCCAGAGGCAGAGGCAGGTCGAGAGTCCTTGTGTGCCTCTCCAGCTCTGCATTAGGTGACCACGAACCTCCAAAGATGGCGGCTCACGGCGCCTGCACCCTTCGATGTTGTAGTGTTGTTGCCAGTCTGTTGCTTTGGGAGCTGCGGGACCCGCACAGTCCTGCGAGGTAGGCCAGGGTCCAGTGGGGGCACTTGATTTAAACACGCACCTTAAATGCAGTTTGGCTTCATTTGAGCGTTCCAGGGAAGGCTCTTGCCGTGACCGGTCAGAAGCCGTTGTGTGAGCTCTCCCTCTTCCCCTTCTTCCGCTGCTTGAAATACTGCTCTTTTTCTGTGATGCTTGGAGGTGATTTATGCTACAAATGTTTTATAAATAAGCAAACGCCACCTTTCTAATTTTACGTTTATTTTGGCTGGTCAAGTTCTGTTTTCTTTTTGTTTCAAGCCACAAGAAAATGTATCCTTGAGGCCAGCGTAGAAATACAGTGTAGCATACTACTACTATAGCAGATGCAATTCACAATACTGGCAATGCCTTACATAACCTGTTCTTACGTATTTTATGAATGTATCCCCCCCCCCAACTACACCCAATTTTCCATCTCTCAATACAGAAACATAGGACTGTCTTACATGGTCTTTCAGAAAAACATCCTTTCTCCTAATCCATACCTATCAGGAACGGAAACTGTATCTCTAGAAAATTGCCTGAACAGTTCCTTCAGCCAGTCTGAAACACTTTCGTTTTCTGTCTGGAAGACAGTTCAGTAGGAGCTTGATCGCTTCGTCCTGGAAGAGCCCCGAAAGCCCTCGCCTCCGGCACGCGTGAAGGCAGGGCAGACCGGTGACACCCGTGTCTGGTCCTCGTCCATTGCAGCTCTGTTTGACATTTATAGGCTCCAAGGTGGTGGACCTGTTTTGGGGATGGGATTCCACACCATGTCAGGAAAGAAAAGCAACTTCAGGGTGGGGCCTTAGATTCCAGCTCATTTTCACCCGGATCCTCCTGGTTTCTCATCCAAACCTGGATGCTGTTGGTGATGACTTCTGCAGATAATTACAGCACGGAATGGGGGAAACTAGCAGCAGGCAAGAACCCAAAGTTTATACTCAGTATATGAAGATATGATCATCTGAATGAAGTCATTACGGGAGCATGATTCTTAATGTATTAGAAGTGTGGGGAACATTGGCACAGAGCTAGTGAGGTGCAGTGAGTAGACTCAGGGGAGACGGATTCTAGTCCACATGAAACTTGCTGGGTGGCTCACTGATGCTCTGCCCAACCTACCTCACAGGGCTGCTGTGAGATTAACCCCAGGGAGGAGGAGGAGGATGTGATTTGCATTGGGTTTCTTTCAGGAAAGAGGTGGGGAATACATACAATGAATCCACACATAAATAAAGCATATGGTTGTTTGGTCTGCACCTCACACCCCCTTGTCTTTCCCTTGCTGCCTTTGCGACGAGTCAGAAACGTCCTTCCCACCCAGCTGGAGTAATTCCTCACTGATTTCCCATCAGGACAAGTGTCTCTTTGCTCTGATTGTGGCTACAAAGAAAATCAAGTCTTTTGTGTACCATCTGGGGCAGGAGGGGGTGGGGAAGGCTGTTCTGACTTTCCTGTGTGGAAGGAAATGGAGATTAGGAAGGAAAAACACCTTATGGGGAGAGATACTGGCATGCCTCCGGGGAGAGCAGTCTCTTCTGCAGCATTTTTGCCCCATTAGTCATGGAGGCCTTGAACCCGGAGGTGGTGGGCCTGCTTTCCTGGAGCTAGGCCACCCCTCAAGCTGCTGCCTGCCCTCTGCCACACTTGCGGTGACTAAGGAACAGAATCGGGGCTGAGACAGGATGTTCCCTCGCTGACCTCACCCAAGGGCAGGCAGAGCATAAGAAAAACTGGGCTGGGACAACCCAAAGGGCCGTCTAGGCCAGCGCTGGGTCTGCTGAGTGGCCAGACAGTTGTCTGCGGGAACCCAGAAGCGGAATGTGGGTCTGACGGCACTGTCCCACCCATATTCCCCAGTGACTGGGGTACCTGGGCATACTGTCTCTGAGGCAGATTTGGTAAACCTCCCTCCCTGAGATTAAATGGCCTTGAAATTAGCCGGATCCCCACTGGCGGGGGGACGGGGGGGGGGCACCTAAGGGGCAGAAGCAGATCCCTTAAGTACTCCCGGCCTCAGGCTGTTTGCCGCTTTATGCATTTATTTATTTTATGCAGTCCCTGTATTTTTTTTATCCTGCTTTTCAGGAGGGCTACACAAGAACGCCGTTCGTTTTTGCAAATCATGCAAACGTATCTGGTTTGCCACTGCGAACAGGCACACAAATGCAATCCTTGTGTAGTTTCCTGTACTTGTGGCTGTGCTGAAGTGTGCATTTGCACAAGTATGCATGACCGCAAATGCAGGATTATGCTCTTGAGAACACTGCTTTTTCCTTCCCTTTCAAAAGCAACATTTTCAAGCGTTCGTTCGCCTGTGCAGGGGGGATGGGTCGCAGGGTGGGCGTTTTTCTCAATTGGAGAAACACACACTTAGCCCATGAGCTGCAAGGGGCTTCAATGACGAATTCGGAAAACCTCATGAGCTCCAGTATCTCTCATGTCCGCCTCTCCCTTCTCTCGGGACATGGCTTGCCATCTTTTCAAAAAGCTGTGCCAACGAAAAGATGCGGAAGAAACTGGAAGGAAAGGAATGAGGAAGGGAGATGTGCTTTTCGAGGCCGGAGCAAGAGGGTGCATGCTCCGTGGGTGTTGCGCCATGGTGCTCCCGTCTGAATGGGGCTCTTGTTCCTTCGGCCGATGGATGGGGCCAGAGGGCTCTTTCCCTGTCCTCCTGGAGCCGCAGGGCAACTGCTGCTTGGAGGGAAGCCCAGTGTGCCTTCTGGCGGGAAGGGCGAAGCAAGCTGCCGGCAACTGCCCCTCCGCGCTGATGGATTGGCCACCCCTCGAGGTCGTTCCTGGGCATGAGACACTCTGCCTTCCTAGAAGGACATGTTCCCCTGCTGGTGGCAGAGGCCACTTGGCTGCACGTGCGTGAGAGTGAGAGTGAGAGTGAGAGAGAGTGAGAGAGAGAGAGAGAGAGAGAGAGAGAGGACATGAATGAATGGATTCTGTTGCCTTTCTTGTGCTTCAGAGTTTATATCTTCAAAGTGGAGCTACTCAGTTTGAATGATAGATCAAAAGGATTTTAATAACAATTTTGAAGAAGTGCCCTCAGTTAAATCAGGCAGCGGTGTGTGTGTATGTGTGGTGGGGGTGGAGTAGAGAATGAGCAGAACACGTGCAGAAACGGTTGGCGCCGTGTAGCAGGGGCTGTTCTCCCACTGCCTCCCAGGGAAAATGCCTTTTTTGGTTGTTTTTTGAGATGATGGCCTCTGCAGCAGAATATGTAGACCATGTACAAACAGATGCCTTTTGCTTCAGAACTGTAGTTTTATTGATGTGTAAATGGGTGATGTAGATTTAATCAATTAATTAACAGCCTGGCAGAGAATTCTTCTTTGGGTATTAGATGTTCAAGTCAGACAACGTTACATGCCCAGGCAGACGCTGATCCCTGTAATGTTGGAGGATCTATAAAAGAGGCGAGGGACGATGTGGGGCTGGTCCTGTTTCTCCCCCCGCTCAGCATGGAGGCCTGCAGAATCTGCAGCAGTCAGAAGCTCAACTGTTCTCCTGAGTGAGTGGTGAGGAACCTGGCTGAGCTGGAGGGCTTCCTTTTGGACAGGGCCTCAAAGGCCACATTCCTGTGGCTGGTGTGGCTAAAGGGAAGGGCAGGTGCCTCTGAAATCAGAACGGACACCAGCCCCTTGTAGCTGGCAAGCACGTGCTCGCAAGAGCTAAGTCTTCGGCAAGGCACGTAGCCTTCTAGAATGAGAAAGAAACCTCACCCAGCGAAGTCAAGCCCCCAGTAGTTGCTGGTGGGACCACCTGCATTTCTTCAGAAGGCGGCGCCGGAGCCTGAAATCATGCCG